CGGCTGTGTGTAAGGCCCTCCCTGTTGTGCTATTGCTCCGGCCCTGCTCTTTGGTGTTTAACAGACCCGAGTAGGAAGCCCTCAAAGTTGACTGCTCTAGGTAGATCTCATTTTGTGTTTCGGGGTCACACTCAGTTGTAGTCACTCTTGGCAGGGCTTATTTCAATATGGGGTGCTGGGGATTGAACTTGGGTCAGCTGTATGCAAGGCTTCTCTCCGTGGCTTTAGTCGCGGGAAGGTGCTGGCCGTGAACCCGTGTCATTCAAGGATGTGGCTATGGATTTCTCCTGGGATGAATGGCTGCACCTGAGCGACCCTCAGCAGACCCTGTACTGGGATGTGATGCTGGAGAACTACGGGCACCTGGTCTCTGTGGGTGAGGGGGACACATGTGCGTCCCCATGGGTGAGGCTGGCTCTTCTACAGGAAGAAGGGCCCGTGAGTCTGTGTCCCTTTCTCCCCAGCAAAAGGCTCAAGCCCGTTCTGAAACAGCACCCCCAGATTTCCAATGTCCAGGTTACGGTCCGAAGCCCTGTCCCCCTTGTGTCCCTCACAGGGTGCTGCAGCATCAAGCCAGAAGTGATCTGCAGGTTGGAGTGAGAAGAGCCACCAGGCGTCCTCCGGAGCTGGCGTGGTATGGGTGAGTGGGTCTTATCAGTGGGCACCGGGATGGGAGGGACACCACGCAGAGGACCTGAGTCCGTCTGTCAGCTGTGACCAGTGGCTTTTGAGAGTACCCGGCACAGTGACTGCTCCCTGGCCTCTGCCCAGCACCCTTCTATCAGCAGGTGCTCCTGCTCACTTTTGGGTGCTCACCCCCACCACACCAGACCCTTTCTGGTCTGTCTTGTCTGCTGTTTCCGTCTTCTTGTTCTGCTTTTTTTTTTTATGTGCCTCTGTGCCTCGCCCTGTATTCATTCATTCATTTCCATTTATATACTTGCTGTTCTCGCTACATGCCATTTCTGGTTATGGAGGGTTGGTGGGGTTTGGGCCACCACCAGCGGTGCTCAGGAATTACTTTTGGCTCTGTACTGAGGCACCCTCCTGGTGCTCAGGGAACTCTTTGGGGTACCAGGAATAAACTGGGGCGAATCACATATAAGGCCGGATCCCAACTTGCCCTTGTACTCTCTCTGCACCCCGGCTTCTGTTGTTGGTGTTGGGGAGCTGCCAGTGAACATGCCATCCCCGGGCTCATGTCAGCAAGACCCCAGATGAGAACTAGGCTAGGTTGGGGCGATGGTGCGGGTCGCGCCCTCTGCAAGTCGAGGGTGCCCGTGACACATGAGAGCTAAATAAAGGGCGTCAATCCAAAACAGCTGGGCCAGTTCTTCCTGGAGACGGGGTTCGGGGGGGCATACCTGGCAGCATGTCGGTCTGTGCATTGTTGGGGATGAACCTTGGGGATTGGTGAGTAGAGACTCGTGACAGCGGTATTCTCGCTGTGAGTGGGGCTGATGCCAGAGGAGCCCAGGCCCACAGTATCTTCAGGGGCCCTGTAGCAAGTGGGCAGCTCGTCATGGTGGAGCCCTCTCTGATGGGTGGGCCCGAATGGAAGTGAGCACTGGCCAGAGAGCAGGAGGTTTGGGGGGGCAGAGGTAGCTACTGCCCACCCCAAGGGGCTCAGTGGCACCTGGGGGTGCTGAGCAAAGCTGGGCACTGGCAGGATTTAACTGGAGGGTGCTGTTTAAGTTGGTATTTCCCAAAGTGGATGATACAGTGGGGGTGCTGGAAGGCCCCAGAGATGCTAGCGCAGTTGGGGGACATTTTCTGTTCACCTGAAGGAGGTAGATTTCTAGGGGGGCAGTTGGGGAGCGGGAGGCTCTGCTTGAAACTTTAGGTTCTAATTTGATGGCTGAGTTCTGGATGGTCAAGGTGCTGATGTCACTGTTCAGGTCTGTGCATGTGACAGGACTCTGGGGACAGCAGCCTGCGTGGGGGGATCTGGGAGGTGCTTCCGGGGCATGTCAGCTCCCAGGAGCATCCAGCAGATGATTTCCAGCCTTTGGCTGTGAAAGCTCGTGTTCTGACGGGTAGCAGTGAGGAATTAGATTTGGAGCAGATGGGAAAAATAGGGGATCTGAGGTGCAACCATGGTTGAGTGCATAGGGGGCAGAGGGGGACACCCCGGGCTTCAGGCAACACTGAGAAGTGGAGGAAGGGGGTGTCAGCTAAGGAAACTGGGAGCAGTTGTTCTGGGGAAACTGTTGGGAGAATTTGGGGCCACAACTGGTGGTGCCCAGCAAGGCCTCTAGGCCCACTGCTCCCACCAGTGCTCCAGGAACCTGGTGGTGCAAAGCCTGGACCCAGCCTGCTAAGGCACCTTGTGTGCTGGCCCAGGGAAACCTTTTAAATAGCTTTTTATCTATCTTTGGACCATCCCTGGGCACACAAGGCAGCACAGGTCTGCTCTGAACTCAGTGCTCCTGCCTGGAGGTGCTCAGGGGACCAGGCAGTGCCAAACTCAGTGTCAAAGCAAATGCTCCAGACATGGAGTTCTCTCCTGCGTGGGCTCAGGGGCTTCGATCCCGACCTTCCTGTGGCTGGCTCCGAACAAGAGCGACAGTATAGTGGGCGGAGCATTTCCTTGCATGCAGATGACCCAGGTTTGATCCCTGGCATCTCATATGGTCTCCTGAGCACCACTAAAAGCAATTGCTGAGTGCAAAGTCAGGAGTGAACTCCCAAGCATTGCCAGGTATGGCCCAAAAACCAAACCCAACCCCACCCCAATCTTTGCTTCCGGATGCCTTCTATGAGAGCATCCTGGGAGATGCTTAGGGGTTACTTCTGGCTTGGTACTCAGGTATTACTCCTGATGCTCTTGGGGGACCATATGAGGTGCCAGGAACTGAACCCAGGTTGACTGCATGCAAGGCAAGCGGCTACCCATTGCACTCTCTAGACCTAGTTTAATATAAAGATAAGACTTGAAAAATCTACCTAGAAAAACAAAGTTATCTTAAGCAGGCATTCAAAGTTGAAGGAGATCGGGGTTAAAATCAAAGGAGGTGAGGATTAAGTTTTCTAAATTAATCAGTGCTCAAGAGCTCAGGGTTGCTCTGGAGAGCTTAAGCTGCTGACAGTGTGATTTGAGGGGATTCCTCTGCAGGAGTCCATGTACCTCCAGTGTGAGTGTGAGTGTACCAAGGCCAATTACAGCATTTTTTATTGAGAAACCCAGTGTATCAGGAATTCACGAGGAAAAAAATTCTCGTATCTGTTATTCTTTATGTTTTCTTTCTTCCCCACATCTCAACCACTTCTCCTAAGGTAGTTCAGTTTTATTTCCAATGTCCACTGGTTTGTCTTTTCTTCTTTCATCATTTTGATACCCTTAATTGCATACATATGAGTTAAAAAAAATCAGGGGCCAGAGAATACAGTGAGTAGGGCCTTTGCCTTACACATAGGCTGATTCCCAGCACCCCATACGGGCCTAGCACCCCATACTCCTAGTGAGTATGCTAGGAGTGATCCCTTGCACTGCCAGGTATGGCCAAAACAAAATAAAACAAATCCAATAATTATTTTTCTTTTTGATCCAACAGTAATTAAATACATGGTGGCTTTTCATCCTAGGATTGTGGGTCTGCAAATTAATGACATAATAACTTAAATAATCAGTGTGTTAACTTTTAATGCTTCTTTTTTTCTTGTTTCTAGATGTCAAGAAGCTTGATAACCTCAAAAAGAGAAATCAAGATAAACACTTGTGGCGAGTTTCATTCATCAACAAATTACTGGCGAAGAAGAGAGGAAATGTTCTCAAGAAAACATCAGATTTGGACATAGACCAGGTTTCTGCAGGAAAAACACACTGTCAGGATGATCCGAGTGGAATGAAACAAGTCTCAGAATCAGTTATTGATAAGCACACAGCTGAACTTGGCACACGTGGGAAGTCGCCTCTTCCTGGTGGGGAAGGAAACACTGAAGACAGCCAAGCAAGGAAGCCTCCAATGCATGGCAGAAGCCTTAGTGAGCCACAGAAAACACAGTCTTTGGGAGTCCCTCCTGAAGATAATGGGTACAGAGAAGCCCCCCATCCTATGGTTGCCATTGACACACACAAGGGGCCTCAAGCAGAAGAGACTGTCACTGAGTATAAGGCATGGCGAGTGATGAATTGGCCCTCAGAAGCCCTCAGCAGCCTCACACAGGGGGGCCTCCCTCAGGGGCTCCTGAGGGTACGAAGTCAGCCTCAGCCCACCCTACACTCCAGGGCTTTCACAGAGGCGACAACACCCACAAATCTCCCGGAAACAAGAACACTTTCGGCAAGAAGCTGTCTCTCGCTTGGCCTTCTAACACAAACACAGGAGAAAGAACCTTTGCACGCGGTCACCGTGGAGGCTCTGCTGAGCAGGAGGCCCACCTCACGCTGTGTCGGAAGACACACGAAGGAGAGAAACCCTGTGAAAACAGTAAGTGTGCGGAAAACATCCAGAAATCATCCCCCGCACCCCCTCTGTCAGGAGAGAAACCCAGTGAGGACAAGGGAGGGGGAGGAGCTCCTGTGGCCGCAGCCCTTCCTGGGCAGGGGGGAAGCGCCCAGAGGAGAGGCCCTATGTATGTGCCGAGTGCAAGAAATCCTTCTGTCAGAGCTCGGCCCTCAGGGTCCATCAGAGAATCCACAGCAGGGAGAAACCCTACCGGTGTGCCGAATGTGGCAAATCCTTCTACGCAAAATCCAACTATAATCACCATCATCGGACCCACACAGGCGAGAAGCCCTACAAGTGTCAGGACTGTGGAAAGTCCTTTTGTGTGAAATCAAACCTGACGAAAATCCAGAAAACACACACTGGGGAGAAACCTTTCAAATGTGAGGAATGTGGGAAAACGTTTTTCCAGAAATCCCAGCTCACTGACCACACGGGGAGAAGCCCTACGGGTGCAGGGAATGCGGGAAAGTCTTCTACTACAAGTTGGCACTACGCGTCCATCGGGGAAAGCACATGGAAGACAAGCCCCACAAGTGCACAGACTGTGAGAAGTCCTGCTCTAAGTCCACCCTGGTCATACACCAGGTAGCTCACACAGGGAAGAAACCCTATGACTGTAGCGAGTGAGGGAAAACCTTCTGTGTGAAGTCCAACCTCACCAAACACTTGAAAATCCACACAGGGGAGAAACCTTACGGCTGCAGTGAGTGTAGCAAATCCTTCTCCATGAATTCCTTGCTGGTTGTGCATAAAAGAACACACACAGGGGAGAAGCCCTACGTGTGTGTCGAGTGTGAGAAGGCCTTCTCTAAAAGGTCAGCCCTTACCAAACACCAGAAGACTCACACAGGGGAGAAGCCACATGAGTGTGCGTGTGGGAAAGCCTTCTATGTGAAGTCAACTCTCGCCATCCACCAGAGGATGCACACTGGAGAGAAGCCCTTTAAGTGCATGGACCGTGGAAAAGCCTTCTATGCCAAATCCCTTCTCAACATTCACCAGAGAAACCACACAGGGAAGAAGTCCCACGTGTGCGGCAAGTGTGGAAAAGCCTTTTCCATGAGGTCTAGTCTCGCTGAGCACCAGTGAACACACTCAGAAGAGAAACCCTATGAATGTACAGCATGTCCGAAAGCCTTCCGCCACAAGTCCACGCTGATGGTGCACCTGAGGACACACACAGGGGAGAAGCCTTACCCATGTGCCGAATGCGGGAAGACCTTCTACATGAAATCAGCCCTCAGTCAACACAGAAGAATCCACACAGGTGAGAAGCCGTACGCATGTAAGGAGTGTGGGAAAACCTTCTTCCAGAAGTCCCACCTCACTAGACACCAGCACACACACATGGGGAGAAGCCGTACGAATGTCAGGAGTGTAGAAAAACCTTCTTCCAGAAGTCACACGTCACTGAACACTAGAGGACACACACAGGGGAGAAGCCCCATGAATGCTGTGAATGCGGGAAATCCTTCTGTTATAAGTCAGCCTTAACCATTCACCAAAGGACCCACATAGAAGAAAAACCCTACAAGTGCAATGAATGTGAGAAGTCTTTCTGCATGAAATCGCACCTAACCGTTCACCAGAGAAATCACTCAGGAAAGAAACCCTTTGAATGTAACGAATGTGGGAAAACATTTTATGTGAAGTCAAACCTCATCAATCACAAGAGAACTCACTTGGGGGAAAAGCCATATGAGTGCAAGAGGTGTGGGAAGTCCTTCTGTATGAAGTCAACTCTCACAGTGCATCAGCGCACACACACAGGAGAGAAACCCTATGAATGCACCAACTGTGGGAAGTCCTTCTGCAAGAAGTCAACTCTCAATAAACACCTAAGCATCCACACAAGAGCAATCCCTTAAACTCAACCAATAGAGGATGTCTTTCTGTGGAAATTAAAATTTTCTGAACATCAGAAAATTCAGGAAAGGAAGCTTATGCATGTAAGACATGTAAAATCTGGCAATTCCTTGTTGGCATAAGAAAACATACGTGGAGTGGGGTAGGGGGGTATCAAGATTTTCCTGGAATTAATATGGGAAAAACAGCTATTTTCCCAAATTCTTTTTTTTTTTTGCTTTTTGGGTCACACCTGGTGATGCACAGGGTTCCTCCTGGCTGCACTCAGGAATTACTCCTGGTGGTGCTCAGGGGACATATGGGTGCTGAGAATCAAACCCAGGTTGGCTGTGTGCAAGGCAAATGCCCTATCAGCTGTGCTATCGCCTCAGCCCCCCATTCTTTACCACTGGAGAATGCACGGATTCACTTATCTGATACTTACTTCAGATAAATCACATGTGAAAAAGTTTGCAACAAGTATAAAAGCTTTAAAACAACCCCAAAGCATTTAAAAAGTCATAAACCACTGAATAGTTATATTGGCATGAAACTAGATGATCTTTTATATGCTTAAAGATTCTAAAAGAAGGAGCCAGAGCAATAGTACAGCAAGTAGGAGCTTGCTTTGTACACAACCAACTCGGGTTTGTTCTCTGGCACCCATTATGGTCCCCTGAGCCTTCTAGGAGAGATCCCAGAACACAGAGGAGTTAAGTCCCGAGCATGCCAGGTGTGGTCCCAAACCAAACCCATTCTCAAGGAAGGTTAGAGAGAGCAGAAGGTAAAGGCACTTGCCTTGGATGCAGACAACCTGGCCCTCCAAGTCCCAGGAGTGATCCCTGAGCACAGAGCCAATCAATAGCTTTCTTGGGTAGGTTTTGCTTTGTTTTTGGGTCATCCCCAGTGATGCTCAGGGGACCATATGGGATGCTGGGGATTGAATCTGGGTCAGCCACGTGCAAAGCAATTTCCCTACCCACTGTACTATCACTCTAGCCCTCTGGTGGATTCTGAGGTTAAACGGTTATACTGCATTATACATCTTTACATTCTTTTTGGTTCCAAGAAGCAAGAAGACCAAGACTAGACAGAAATGACAGTGGTATTAAATTTTACAGTGTTTAAGGTTAGGTGCATTGCAAAAATTTGGTAGAGGCCAAAATAATAATGATGATAATAATAGTAGTAAAGCTGGAATACCATGATAAACCCTTAACTAGCTGTGTTAAGTAGCACTGTCCTCCCGTTGTTCATTGATTTGCTTGAGCAGGCCCAGTAACGTCTCCATTGGAGACTTTGTTGTTACTGTGTTTGGCATATTGAATACGTCACAGGTAGCTTGCCAGGCTTTGCCGTGCGGGTGAGATACTCTCGGTAGCTTGCCAGGCTCTCTGAGAGGGGCGGAGGAATCGAACTCAGGTTGGCCGCATGGGCTGCATGCAAGGCAAACGCCCTACCCGCTGTGCTATCGCTTCAGCCCATTTACAATTAGCAAATTGTAAATAGAATACTAGACACTATTTTTATGGGGGAAGATGGGAGACAGGGGTCACACCCAGCATTGCTCATGCACCCATATGCAGTGATGAGGTTGGATCCCAGTTGGCCACAAGCAAGACAAGTGACTTAACTCTGTACTTTGTGTGGTCCAAATTTTAGCCACTTTTAAGGGGACGATATTTGGATTTCTTTTTTGGATTTTTTTCTTCTTTGGGCCATACCCAAGTGTTAGGGCTTACTCCAGGTTCTGCACTCAACTATCACTCCTGGTGGTACTCAGGGGAACATGTGGATGCTGGTGATAGAAGCAGGTCAGCCACACACTCTCTCTAGCCCTGAATTTTTTTTCTAACTCATCTCTAGATAAATCTGAGCCTAGATGGTTTAAACTGTTGGTCTTACCCTTTCTCTTTTACTGGGGGTTAAATAGTCCTATAAAAATTTAACACCACTCTATTTCCTGCTTAAGGTGATTCTGGATCTCTTTTACCTATGTTGTAGGATAAAACAAAAGGGCACTGTTAACATTACTTAAATGCATTTAAAGATGAAAGAATTTATGTAAAACTCTGAGTAATGATAAATCTGAGTCAAAGTGGTCAGTCATTATTTTAAGGAATATTTACAAGTTTCCTTGGTCTGTCCGGTTCAAGAGGACACAGAAGCAACAGCACAGCTGGTGACTCGTGGATTGTGTCTCCACAGCAGGCATGAGAGACAGGGAGCTGACTTTGGAGAGGCCTGAAGTATCCGTGATGATCCTGACATCTCTTGTGTCAGGAACTGAGGAAAGAATGAGTTCGGTGCAGACGAGGCCAAGGTCACGGGGCTAGTCCACAGGCTCCTCCAACATATCCAAGAGAACTGGCCCACCCAGTCAACAGAAATATGTTGAGAGGAATGGATGAAGCACCTTGTGGTGAAGGAGCAAATCTGCCCCTAAGTCCCTACTCCCCTGGCTAGAGGGAAGAGCTGGGCACTGCCAGCCCCAAAGGGGCCGCTGTTCTCTGGTCTGCTACAGGCCATCAGTAGGCAGAGGCGAAGACGGGGTTGCACACAGGAGGATGGCAGCTGCTGTCGCCTCTAGGCAAAGACTGGTGGCACTGAGGTCGCATCCCTGCAGAAGAACCTGGGGTGTGCAGTGGCAGCGTCACCCACAGATAACTGGTTGAAACTGGAACAAATATATCTCCAGGGATCAGCTGCTCCCCTACCCAACCCCGTCTGCAGATACTTTCAACTGCACCCGCATGCAAAGTATTCATGCCTACCTGCTGAGGATCACTCTAATGGAAGGTTTTTAGCTTCCAGAAAATTCCAGAGGTGAGGGAACATCTTCCAGGGAGTAACAATCACAACTCCAGAATGGGTTGTAGCCCCAAGTCCTTTGGCCTCGTTTCCCCAAGAAGATGAAGTCATTGTTCCCTAGAACACTGGAACAGCTCTTTGGCCTAAGAGGGGGTGGTGGGACACACACACATACGCACACACACACACAGAGTGTATGGACATGAGCTCCATCCAAAGAACCCTGGGGCCAGTCTGGGGCTCACCTCCAGGGGCTTCCTGTGGCAGGCGAACCCTAAACAAGGCCCTGCCAAGATGACCAGTTTCAATGCAGCTCAGAAAAATGCCATTAGAAATTCTCCATTTGAGTGTCCCCCAGTGGGCAGCACCAGTGTTCACGCGCACCCCAAGGCGCATGTCAGGGATTCTGGGAGGAGCAGAACCTTCACCAGTGCTGGTTTCAGTGACTAGTATGGGGGTTTTCAATATAGTTTTCTTTAAAAAGAAATTAAGTTTTACGAGTTTTACAAATGTCCATCAACATACTCTTACGGATGTTTCATACACAATTCTCTTACCATATATACTTTTTGTATGGGTGAAAATGTCCTTGGTTACTGCCCTACTCTTCAATAAAGACGCCAAACTATACCTTTTAATGGTCTGTGCTGGGTCCTGGTTTAGGCCCCCACCCCTGCAACGCATGCAGGTGGAGGACTTGCTGGAACCACCCGCAGTGTGCCTGGTGTGCAGGAGGCTCACAGGGCCGCAGCTGTGGAGAGGCCCCTGCGACTTCCCGCTGTGTCCGTTTTCCTTGTTGGAGATTTCATGTAGCATGTTCTCACTTGGGGCACTTCCTCTCAGGCAAGTACACATGTTCAGGGGAGGATTCTGGGTGATTTGGGGAGGTTTCGTTACCTCCTGAGCAGAATGGCGCAGGCCACCCAGATTAAATCATGGCACTTCCTGTGGCCATGGCTGCTTGGCTTTTCATGGGTGCAGCAAGGGCTGATGACCGCCAGGAATGCTGAGTGGTGCTGCCTCACACCATTTGCTTTTTGAGAAGGGCTTTGGGCCCTGAGGTACTCAGAGTTAGGGATTTGAACGGGGTGGCCTGGACACAAGGCGAATGCCTTAGTCATGGTCCCATCTCTCCCGCTCCATCTTTCCTTCTTGTTCAGTCCTTCTGGGGTTCAGACTTTCCTGCGTCCCCACCCCGGGATGGGAAGACACCCTAATAATGCCGAGCTGTAGTTTCTCTTATTTATAGGTACCATCTTCCCCGCCACCCACAGCGATGCTTGGCTCTTGGTGTTGTTTGATCATTGGTACCCAGGCCTGTATGTGCTGGGGTCCAACTGGACCCCAGGGTTCTGAGTGTCAAACTTGGGCCCCCTGTGTGTTAGGCAGGTGCAGAGTCTCCCTGGGCCCAGGGAAGTGTGTGGTGCATTCAGACTTAACTCGGGAATTGTCTGTATTTTATCTGACGGTATTTATGAACTTTCTTTTTTTTTTTTTTTTTGGGTCACACCCGGCGATGCACTCAGGAATTACCCCTGGCTATGCTCAGGGGACCATATGGGATGCTGGGAATTGAACCCGGGTCGGTCGTGTGCAAGGCAAATGCCCTACCTGCTGTGCTATTGCTCCAGCCCCTATTTATGAACTTTCAACTCTGTTCTTCACAATGTTACTTCTTATTTGGAACACAGCACAGGAAATTTCCTTTTGGGAAGGTACATATCATATATCTATTTTTTGAATAGGAAACATTTAAACTTCAAATGATTTATTCACTGACATTTTCCCAGCCCTAATTCCTGTATTTTTAAGGATGAACTGTTATTTTCAATCTGGGATCAAAACATAAACATATGATATCTAGCAATTCTATCTAGCAATTCGTTTGAATTCCTTCAAGTCACATCTAGTCAAGGAATTTCCCCATGTTTTTTTCGACTAGATGTGGTTTGAAGGAGCTTTTAAATTTTCCTAAAGAATTGCTAGATAGCCTTATGTCTTTTAATTTTGATCCCAGACTGCAAACAGCTACTCCTTAAACAATGTGGGAACTAATGCACTGAGCATAACTCTGAATTTACTCTTACTGAAATGGAAGTGGATTATCATCTAACCAGGCACACACACCTAGAACACTGTTTATGTGCATGCAATTCATAACAAACAAAACATGGTAAACTTGCTTATCAAAGATTTTACTTAAAATGCATACTTAAGTGTTTATTTAAGCTATACTGACAACAACTGGTCTCAGAAACTTTTGGAGATATACTTTCAAGAAATATGCTATATATAACTCAAGCACAAAAAAATACAATCTACCAAGCTTTCAAGTCTTCTTCGCACACACAATGTCCAGAAAAATATGGAAGGGAAGTGCTATGTCAGAAAAACAGGAGCCATGATTTTAATTTGTGAAAAATAGGCATTTCATTTCATAGAATAAAAAGCATGGTGTGTGTGGAGTCAATTATTCAATGGCAACAGGCTACCAGGCTAATCAATGAATCAAAAGCAAATCTTGACCTTACATCATGCTGTCAGCTACCATAGTATTGCACAAGCAATAGAAATGAACCTAAAAGAAACCCATGTCATGCTGTGGAAGGAAGCTCTGCTGATTAATCAGTGCTAGAAACAAGCATACTTATTTTCTACAAGTTGATTTCCAACGGTCAAACTATTTACATAAAAATTTACCAAAAATATGAGACAAATGCCTACAAAAACACCATAAAATAAATGACTTACCTGAAATCCTCTTCTGAAATGCACAATTCCTGAAAAGTACATTGGTACCATCAGTCGTGACTACAGAGCATCGTATAACCACTGATTTGAAGATGGACTTAATCAATTCACGAGATCTGTCCGGAGAAGGAGCAGCTACAAGGCTCGTTGGTTTGACGGTGTAATCCTTCAGGCCCCAGGTTCTTCCCATCTTTCTGCACTGTCAGGCTTAAATCATGATCCAATGTGGAAAACATAATCAGACATCACATCCCGACAAGGAGACAGTCACCCCACTGCACTCCACTGGGCCCCGCAGAGCTGAGGACACCCCTTCTAAAAAACGGTCCAAAATTCCCAGGTCCTGCCTAAAATCCCCACTGTGGCAACTCCACACCACTGGCAATGAAGAGAGTTTTTCATAAATAGCTGAAATAAACCAGGATCTATCCCATATTATGAGGAACAGATGCCCAAACTTTGCCAAAAGTAGTACGAAGGGAAGATTGATATAATCCCACATGCTACTAAGTTATGTGTATTAACACATTTAGAATTCTGGAAGAACAGAGCCTAAAGTTTAAAAGTACTATTAAGTAAAGTCAGACAGTTCCCAAGGTACAAAGTCTGAGTCACTGTGCACTATGCATTCAACTAAAAAGTCAAATAAAGATCAAAGGAGGAATGTTTTAAGCATATTTTTAATTGGACAGAATCCAATGAGTTCTGTCTCACTACTGAGACCCCTGGCATTAGCAATTCAAAATCATCTATGCATATTTCCTGATTTCTTAGAGCTATCTCAGATACAGCTGGAAACATTATTTAAAAACTTTGGGGGGAGAGGGGCTGGAGAGATAGCACAGCGGGTAGGGTGTTTGCCTTGCACGCAGCTGACCCGGGTTTGATTCCCAGCATCCTATATGGTCCCCTGAGCACCACCAGCAGTAACTCCTGAGTGCAAAGCCAGGAGTAACCCCTGTGCATCGCTGGGTGTGACCCAAAAAAAGCAAAAAAAAAAAAAAAAACCAAAAACTAACTTTGGGGGGAGAATCCAATGAGTCCTGTCTCACTACTGAGACCCCTGGCATTAGCAATTCAAAATCATCTATGCATATTTCCCGATTTATTAGAGTTATCTCAGATACAGCTGGAAACATTATTTAAAAACTTTGGGGGGAGAGTGGGATTTGGGCTGCACCTCACGGTGCTCAGGGCTTACTCCTGGCTCCACTCACATGGGTCACTCCTGGTGGTTTTGGAGCATCACCTGGAGTGCCAGGGATCAAACCCAGGTTAACCACATGCAGGGCAGGCACCCTACCCACTGTACTATTGCTCCAGTTCCAAAACACTGTCTTCTTATTGGAAAATATTGCTCACTGATAGTAATAAAATGCATTTATAAGCACCAGTTAAGAATGCAAGAAAAAAGTATACAGTAATCACGTCAGTTCACACACACAAACACACACACGAATTTGTTTTGTTTGTGGGGGGCCATACCCAGTGAGCTCAGGGCTTTTACCTGTCTCTGTGCTCAGGAATTATTCCTGACTGACTCAGGGGACTATATGGGGTGATGGGGATCAAACCTGGGTCAGGGTCAGCCGCATGCAAGAGCCCTAGCCACTGTATTATGGCTCCAGTTCCCTTGACAATACATATTAAGCCACTAACATGGTTCTTCTATTTAGAGTGGATCATCTTTTTATGTTTCACAAATTATTCTACTGAGGATACAATGCCCTTTCAAACAGGACTCAAACTGAACATACAATTCTTTTTAATGCAGTCCTAAAAACAGCAAATAGCAAAATAAAAGCAAAAACAAAAACCCCATCCAGATATAAACTGCATATTCTCAAGAATCACACATAAATTTGACATTGTTATGATTGAGTAATTACCCTGATTTTATAACTTCTATTTACAAGGATTATTCACAATTATCCTCTTTTTTGTTCTATAGTTTGGTATTATGTCAGAAACATACATTTTAATATAATTTCCAAAGTCCCCCCCCCCACACTTTTTGTGTTGAAAAAAGTTCCTCTGGGTAATTCCCTGACAAGTAAAAATCTATGATGACACTGTCAAATGCATTTGCACCTTTACTCCTAAGTCCAGCATCCAAGCCTCTGCTGCTTGACAACTGCGGTTTTTCACCTGTTAACTTCCAGACCTCCAGTCTGACAAGTGTGCAAAGCCTTGTCCACGCTGTTGGTGAATCCTTGGACAACAGTTTGATCTGAGGGGACTTTCTTATCCATTACAAGAGGCTGGATGTCATAGTAGTCTCTCCACATCATGGACATTCATATTTCCTCTCTTATGAATCCTCTGATGGCTATTAAAGGCTGATTTGTGGTAGAATTTTTTCCCACATTCATTACATTCATAGGGTTTTTCTCCTGAATGCGTTCTATAGTGTACGGTCAGGTAAGACATCCGAGAGAAAGCTTTTCCACATTCGTTACATTCAAAAGGTTTCTCTCCTGAATGAATCCGATGGTGGATAGTGAGATATGACATCTGAGAGAAGAATTTTCCACATTCATAACATTCATATGCTTTCTCTCCTGTGTGTGTTCTCTGATGCCGATTAAGGGCTGAATTCTGGCAAAATGTCTTCCCACATTCACTACATTCATAGGGCTTCTCTCCTGAATGAATTCGATGATGTATAGTGAGGTATGACATCTGAGAGAAGAATTTCCCACATATATAACACTCATAGGGCTTCTCCCCTTTGTGTATTCGCCGATGTCTACACAGGGCCGAGTTCTGATAGAATGTTTTCCCACACTCGTTACATTCATAAGGCTTCACTCCTGAATGAGTTCTGTGGTGGATGGTGAGGTATGACAACTGGGAGAATAGCTTCCCACACTCACTACATTCGTAAGGTTTTTCTCCTGTGTGTACTCTCTGATGCCTCATGAGGGCCGAATTCAGGTAGAACGTTTTCCCACAATCGGTACATTCATAGGGCTTCTCTCCTGAATGAGTTCTGTAGTGTACAGTGAGATAGGACAGGCGAGAGAAGAACTTTCCACATTCGTTGCACTCATAAGGCTTCTCTCCTGTGTGTGTTCTCTGATGTGTGGTGAGGGTCGACTTCCGGCAGAAGCACTTCCCACACTCATTACACTTGTAGAGTTTCACGCCCGTGTGAATTTTCTGGTGGTCATTGAGCGCCGACTTCTGGGAGAAGGTTTTCCCACAGTCATGACACACATAGGGTCTCTCTCCTGAATGTGTTCTCTGGTGTTGGGTGAGGTGTGTCTTCTGGCAGAAGGATTTCCCACAGTAACTACATTCATAGGGCTTCTCTCCTGAGTGAGTTCTCTGATGCTGAATGAGGTGCAGCTTCTGGTAGAAGGTCTTCCCGCATTCGCTACATTCGTAGGGTTTCTCCCCTGTGTGTGTGCGCTGATGGACAGTGAGGGTGCCTTTCTGGCAGAAGGACTTCCCACACTGTGTACATTCATAGGGTTTCTCTCCTGTGTGAGTCCTTTGGTGGATGATGAACTTGGACTTTTTACAGAAGGATTTCCCACAAGCAGTGCACTTGTAGGGTTTTGTTTCAATCTGAGCACTCTGGTGCTTGCTGAGGTTTGACATCTGGAGAATGGCTAGTTCAGATTCATTCCACTTATAGGGCTTCTCCCCTATGTGGCTAATAAAACCCGTATCCTTCTGAAAGGCTTTCTGGCATTCAAGATAGTGACAGGGTTTCTCCAAAATATGAATGCTCTGATATGGATTTTCTTCTCTAAGAGTATATGCTTCTCCATTCTGATCCAATCCATCAGACTTAGTCGCTGGATTAGGCTTCTCATGCTTAATATGGAGCAGGGACTTCCCACATGCACTACATTCATCAGGTTTGATTCTTGCATAGCTTCCATCACTACTGATAAATTCTGAGACAGGTTTGCAACTCTTTCCACATGCGTTGCATTTACTGGGTATTTTTCTTGAAGGCGCAGGGTTTGTTTCTATACTAAAAGTTTTACCAAGAACATTACCTTTCTCCTCAGTCACGCTTCTGTTGATGATCAATAGAGTCTCCCTTGAATGTTTGTCTCCATTCTCCTGGGCTCGCTTTCTCAGATCATCGACTTTCCAGACTTCTAAAAACAGGCAAAATGAGCAAGGATTTGTACATTTTCCTATGTGAGAAATGAGACTTGCACATGAGTTTTAGTCAGGCACAGATGACAACAATGCTGTGGGTGTTTTGGCCTGTTGGTTTGGGACAGGAATGTGGGTGCACCTCCAGAGATGAAGGGTAAGGGAGAAATGAACTGATGAAAAACATAAGCATGTCTCAGCTCTGCTCCTTGCAAGTATCTTGGTAAAAACTGGGTGTAGGGGTTGGAGAGTAGGGTGTCAGTGCAAGAGGTAGGACATTTTCCTTGCAATAGGTGGACCTGGGTCTGATCCCTGGCACCCCATGGTCTCCCAAGCCTACCAGGAGTGTGACCCCTGAGCAAAGAGCTGGGGGTAAGACCCAAGCATGGCTGGGTGTAGCCCAAAAACAAAACAAACACTGGCCTATGAAATGTCTCCGTTTCTCTTCTCAGTCTTCTCTGTTTCCTTGGCATACTGGACAACAGATCTCTGTGCTGTCATGTTTAGGTAGCTTGGATTTGCAGGGTGTGTTGATCTGAATTTGCATCCAATTCTCGGAATTCTCTTAATTCCTTAGGGAATTTCAGTTTCTTGTCCTTTATGAATCACTGCAGTCAGTTTCAACCAGTAATTTCTGCCTGTTTACCTCAGATTACTTATTTTCAGCCCTGATGTGCTCAAAGCTGATCTCACATGATATTGCCAAGCTAAGAGCAAACTCAAATAACCTTTCTTACTCCAATTAGCTCCCTTCCCCTTAAAAACAAGAACAGTCTCCTAAAAATCATTTTAGTCCAAAGCAATTCAGCTGTGCATTAGTATCTGATGTTAAGTACCTTAAGACCACAACCTGGACAAGCGTGTGATTCTCTGGTATAGGATTAAGAGTGTTTATTGCAGAGCAGCAGTTTTTTTTTTTTTTTTTTTTTGCTTTTTGGGTCATTGTGAGATGATAGCACAGCGGTAGGGCGTTTGCCTTGCGCGCAGCCAGCCTGGCCGAGCCAGGTTCGATTCCTCCGCCCCTCTCGGACAGCCTGGCAAGCTACCGAGAGTATACAATATGCCAAACACAGTAACAAGAAGTCTCATAATGGAGACGTTACTGGGCCTGCTTGAGCTTTTTGGGTCACACCTGGCAATGCACAGGGGTTACTCCTGGCTCTGCGCTCAGGAATTACCCCTGGTGGTGCTCAGGGGACCATATGGGATGCTGGGAATCGAACCTGGGTCGGCCGCGTGCAAGGCAAACGCCCTACTCGCTGTGCTATTGCTCCAGCCCCGAGAAGCAGGGTTAACAAAACCAATGTTGCTCAAAGTGGGTGATATTACCCCTGGAGAGGTTCTAGAATAGTTAGGGATGTTGTAAAAGACTCAGTGCATTTGGGGGGTACATTTTGTGGCTCACATAAAGAAGGTCGACTTTTTCTTCTTCTTCTTCTTTTTTTTTTGCCACACTTGGCAATGCTGAGAGGTTACTTCTGGCTCTGCACTCAGGAATTACTCCTGGCAGTTCTGGGAGACCATAGGGATGCTGGGGATCAAAACAGCATCAGCAGTATACAAAGCAAATGTCCTACCTGCTATACTATCATTCTAGCCCCAGAAAGTTGATTTTCAAGAGAGCTATTTTTATTTTCCCCTGAAAAGAAAGTGGTAGGCCAAATCAGCTTGGGAAGTCCTGACTGAAAACCTACAGAATATTGGTGATGCAATGTAAAACACTTAAAAATCTCAGAGTAAAGTGATTTCACTCACTCCTACAGTAACCAAAATGTAAGCGGGTGCTAACATGTAAGTGTAACGGGGAGGAGGGGAACACACCCCTTCCCTCCAGCAGTGAGGAGGGGAGATGCTGGCCAGAAAATGGCCAGTAAAAGGAACTGAAATCCCTTTAGACAGTGAATCAGAACATTCCAAGAATCACCGAAGGAGGCAAAACCTACCGCAAACTTCAGATCAACACACCCTGTAAACTTAAGGGAGTCTGAAGCAATCCGGGCACGGCAGGATGGAGTTCTGGTGTCTACTACGCTGGGGAAAACTGAGAAACGAGACATTTCTGAAGCTGGGGGGAATCGACCACAGCAGAGGAATAGAGACCACTCACAGTGACAATGCTGGGGTGACCACGAGGAAAGGGAAAAGGAGTCTAATTCGGGAGTTAGGAGGCGGGAGCAGTGATGAGCAACCACAGCTTTCGCAGCTCACCAGCCCCTGCAGCCAGCAGGAGACCTGAGGACTGTTTTGGGTGAATAACCCAGCATGGAAACAAACAAAATCTCCAAGGACTGAGGAGGGCTGGAGCCCTGGGGGAGTTCAGGAACAAGGAAAGGGTCAGAGTTCTAAGGAGATACTTCAAAGAGGGTGGGAGGGTTAATGATGCCCAGTGATTTCTCCTCAGGATAGTCTGGAGCCCCATGGTGCCAGCAATTGTTCGAGGAAGACAGAGGGATAGGTTCTGGGGAGGGGTGCTGTGAGAGGAACCAGTCCTACAGCCCAGGAGGGAGGGGACCCCCACATGCACTGGCTGAGGCTCGGGGTAGAACTCAAAGAGAAGGAAAAAGGAAAGCCAGGAACGGAAACAGGTCAGAGGTGCCTCAAGGAAAAGGCTGGGAAGGTGGCAGTAACACGAGGCAGGAAGTTACTGAATAATCGACTCAGGCTCACCCCCAAGCAAAGAAAGTGGTAAGCCAGACATTGATGTTCATGTCAGATTATCACCGAGACAACAGGTTTCTGAAAATGCAAGAAGAGGAGCTACCCATGGCTCAAGAGGGAGAAGGAAGCGCCTAGACATGGGTTCTGAGTAGATGTGAGCACAGAGAAGTTCTGTGAACTTGTTTTTGTGGGGTAGAAAGAAGTCCAGAGGTGGGAGAGAGCAAGGGTGAAACTGATGCTCAAGGCAGGGACCCCGAAACAACACTAACAAATTCCCAGTCTCCTCCACCAACATACCTGGGGAACCAGGAAGCAGGAATCCACCACTCACAGCCCACGGCTCTTCTCCTTGCTCCAACTTGAGGATCACTTCCGGTTTGAGGATGTGACACCCTGTTAATGGCAACAAGAGCACTTGAGTCTGGCTGCCGGCTCTACAGATCCTTGGGTGGGAGTGGAGGAGTCTACTCGCCCATCTGTGCTGCACGCCCACGGAGAACTTTGTGGGTGGCAGCAGGAACCACTCAAATGCCCCGCTGGATACCCAAACCATACCATTTGCAACAGTCCCAGGAAAGTATGTGTTAAAACCAGTAAATGTGCTCTCAGCCCAGAGAATTCAGGAACTCAGAGTGCCCCTCACCCACTGAGACGAGATGGCTATAGTTCTCCAGCATCACGTCCCTGTAGATTATCTTCTGCTCGGCGTCCAGCTGCCGCCACTCCTCCTGGGTGAAGTCCACGGCCACGTCCCAGAAGGACATGGGCCCCTGCAAGGCCAGTAACAGAAATGGGTAACGTGGAGGAGCCACCAGGCAGTGATGGCTCGTCCTTGCGGCCTACAGTGCCCAGAGTTTCTATCACTGATTCATTCACTTCACTCTTGGGAGTTGATAAACCTGAGCTCCAGCAGCTAATTTTGTCTGAACTGCTCCTCCTTGGGCTGCTGAGCCTCGGGCTATGTGCTGCGTCACCATCACTAAGGCAGCCAGTGGGCAAGTGACTCTAGAGCCGCACTTTCTGCAGGGCCAGATGGATCGGACTAAGCATGCCCACATAAACTGTCAGTGGGGCATGATGGGGCTCCTGAATCCCCACCAGGGAACCCTGAATTCTTTCCTCCTAACCACCTTGTGCAGGAGGAGGGGTCACAAAGAAAGGGTGGAGCCGCCTAAAGAAATGCTCCGACTTAGTCCTTTACAGCCTGACCTGCTGTACCAGGGCTGCCCACGGTATGCCAGTCTGGGTTACTCTGGACACCACACACACACACTCCTCAGTGCTCTCCATTACTGTTCCGGACCCCTCACTGTGAGTCTGTCCCACTTTCCAGACCATAGCAATCAGGCCACTGGAGGCTTCAGTCACAAAAATGCCAGGCAGGCAGGTTACTGAGAAGCTGAGTTACACGGAGCCGACAGACCAATGAGATCACAAAATCCAGCCACTTGGAGGGCCCCACCGTGGCCCCTAAACTCAGCAGGGACGACATTTTTCCTCCCAATAGCCCATCTCCGCATCTCCTACTGTGGCCGAGATGACTGGTTAAACTCAAGGGTGCTTACCAGGGTGTGACTCATGTTTCTGAGGCTCCAGAGAAGACAGGGTAGCCTGCCCGTGAAGATGGACCTGCGGAAGCAAAACACCGGTATGAGACCTCCAGGCCAGGAACTACTCCTGAGAAGCTCCCAGAAAGTTGCATGAGACCTGTTGTAGGGGGAGAGGGCACCGGACCTCACAGCAGCCCTCAAAGGACCAGGTGGCGTCATCCCACATCACCCACTGTAAATGCTACCGAGCCGGCATCATCCAGGAACCAAAGAACAAATGTAAAGTGAGAGTCTGCAGGGCCCATACACCGCAGGGGTGGAGGTCTCCCGGTCAGTGGGGATTTGCTCGTAGGACCTCGAGGTGCGGCTCCCAAGAATCCAGCGTTTGTGCAGACCCGGAGCATGTGCAGGGATCTTCACGGCGATTGCACCGAAACCATCCGAGTCCCCCGTGGCAACGGTGTGCATGAGTTTCACGACGAAACGCGCGATGCATCGCAAGGGTGCTAGGGCGGGCTCGGACGCGGAACCCCTCGGGCCTTCACAAACCCCTCCCCGCTGCGGGGTTCCGGGGCACGGAACAAAGGTGCTGCCGGACACGAGTCCGCGGAGACACGGAGCCGGAGGGACGGTGACAACAGCCCACGAAGAGGCCTCGCCGCACGGACCCCCCCCCACGGCCCGGCCACTGACCCGGGCTCGGGGCTGCAAACCCTGACCTACCCCGCGGACCTCGGGCCGGCTCCGGCGGGCGATCGGTATTCGGGCCTCCCCGCCCCCTGCAGCTCGCGCCCCGGCCCTACCGAACCCGCGCTGCCAGCTCGCTGGCCGCCGCCGGAGGGCCCCAGCGGGCGCCGAGCTGGTTACCTGGGCACCGAGCGGAAGCGGGCGGCGCGCGTGCGCACACGCGTGCCCGGCGCGGCCCGCTGGAGTCCCACTTCCAGCGTCCTCCGGCTACTCCAAACGGGGACTCATTTCCCAGCAGCCACCGCGCCCCGGGACCAGAAGGTCCGTCCCCACTCGCTCCGGGGAGCGCACCAGACGATGAGCGCCGACCGTTCCGCCCGGGGGAAGGGGACGTGTGTTGCTCTTCGCGCGCCGGCGCTGTCGGGCCGGTATCCGGTCCTTTGCTCACGTCGCGCGCAGGCCGGAGGGAGGCTGCAAAATCCGAGAGCGGCTCCGTAAGATACGCACCCGGACGGCCCCCGGGAGTGATGGAAATCGCACCCGGCTTCCCGGCTTTCCCGGGCGCTGCAGTTCCTCGAACGAAGGGGAGTCGAGAGCGCAGTGAGTGGGTTGGAAGCCGCGCACCGAGGTCAGGTGGGGTGGAACGAACTGGGCCTAACGGGCCGGTATCACAGATCCTCCCCTACCCGCCCCCCTTCGGGAGTGCAGACAGGATAGCGAGAAGCTTTTTGTTCTATTTTGTTGCCGCACCCGGCGTTGCTCAGGGCTCAGGCCTGGCTCTCCACGGAGGAGGTGGCGGGGTGCCTTCCACCGGTCCTGGGACATGGGGTTTTTCCTGTCGGACACGGCTGGACATGCCTGCCTGCCTGACCTGCGGGATCCAGGCCGGCGTCTCTCCCATTCCAGAAACTGATGTGGACGCGGGACCGGGGGGTGCGGGACCCAGGAACACAGCATGGGCATGTCGTGGCGCATATGAAATGGCAAGGCAGATGCCTCACAGGCAGGGCATGGCCAAGGCTATGTGGGACAGGACCAGCCTGGGGCTCCATCTCCTCCTGTCTGTCCCCAGACCTCCAAGTGCCCAAGTCTGTCGCCGGGAGCCAGGGACAGATTCTGCCTTCAGAGGCACAGGCTGTGTGTGTGTGTGTGTGTGTGTGTGTGTGTGTGTGAGAGAGAGAGAGAGAGAGAAAGAGAGAGAGAGAGAGAGAGAGAGAGAGAGAGACTGGGGGGGGGCGTGGGGTTCCTAGCAAGGAAGGTGATGTCCCTTGGGAAGGGAAATGATTTGCTCCCTGGCTCCCTGCCTGTCCAGACCAGTTGGGAATAGCCTGCTGAGGCTGGAGAAGGGGGTTCTGTCTGGGGAATCACCGCACAGCACTCCCACGGGGCCTGGGTCCCCAGACCTTCCAGCTGGTGGTCACAGATCATCTGGGGACAGGACTTGGGGGTGCATCCTGAGACTCTCCAGCTTGTCTCGGGGCTTCTGGGATCCTGGGATTCCAGGACCACACACTGCAGCGATGGGGTGCGGGTCTTCGGCTCCCTTGAGCCCTCTCCCACCCCATCTCTCTTCTTCTGCTGCATCTCCGAAGTGTTTGGGGCCCCATTTCTCCCCACCCTGTCACATGAGGGCTGGACAGCCACATCCGGGTCTACAGGAGCCTGCCCTGTGGCCTACTGCCAGCCCTGCTGTCCCCCCTACCCTGGCTCCTCTTGGGGTTCACTCCGTGTCCATGCTGCTTGGCTGCTAGCTCTGTTCCCCGAGTCCCTCTGTCACTACTCCAGGCTTTGCAAGAACCAGAGCCACATCCAGAGGTGCTCAGGGATCCAGGTGGCAGGGACCAAACTCGGGGCCTCTCACGTGTTACGTCCAGGCTCAGCCCACTTGGGGCTGCTTCTGTGACCCCTCAACACCCCATTAAGTGCCGGGATCGCTGCTCACAGGCAGCCACACCCCCTGGTCACGGGGTCTGTGTCAGAAGCACGGCTTTCCCACAATTCCCAGGAGGCTCCCTGGCCTCCCCTCTCCTCCCAGGTGACCCAAAACGCTTGGGGATGGGGTCATCAGCTGTCAAGATGGGATGGAGCTCTGATTCTGCCCATGTCTGCCCCTGACCACTTCTCCCCTAGCAAGAGCCTCAAACGTTAAGGAAAAGATTTATTTTCAATATCCCAGTTAAAACTCAAAAGACTTGAACATAAAACCAAAATTATCTTTATTGAAGAAACGAGACATAAACAAGAATAAGCATCACAAAAGTAAAGCAACAGCATGTTAGCTGGCGATGTCAATTTAGGATGCCTTAAATATAAACTATGAGAACTATCTATGGCAAACATGGTGAGACCGCTATTCACCAGCGGTCAGCACACAGGGCTCAGTGTCCCCCAGCAGGTCTAGCCAGACCTAACTGTTCCTGCCCCTCGCAGCCCCTTTTCTTCAAGCTGGGGCTAAGGTTCTCACGTTCCAGGACAGTGGACTCGGGCATTTGATCTGAAATTGGGGAAACTTGCCAGATCATGGAACATAAAAGAAAGTGGATTTTTTGGTTGCCTTTGGCCAGACTCCTGAAGTGCGCCCAACTCTTACCATAATATTCTAGGATATTCTGGATTTTTCTAGATTGTCCACATAGGAGGCTGAAATCGGGCAGAGTCCGGACTTTTTCCTCGTTGGTACCTTGTAGCAGGTGGTCTGAAGGGGTTGGGGGACAGGTGTGTGGGTCTTCACCTGTACCCCAAGTGCCTGTAGGCTGCTTCTAGGTGAATTCCTCTCTCCCTTGGGCAAGTTTTCTGGTGTCTTGGGCATCCGATGACAGTCCTGGTGGCGATGCTCTGGGCACGGGCAGGCCCTGGACGGATGGAAATGATCTTTGACAGTCTGAGGGCATGTGGAACTTCCCTCACCCTGAACCCAGCTCCCGTCTCTGCTCCGAAAGCCTCTTGGCCTTGGCCCGAGGGTGATCCCAGTGCCAGGAACAGGACCTCTGGGGGTCCGGCTGGAACCCCCCTGCAACTCTCCATCACCCCAGGGAAGCAGATGTGAGTGTGCTGGGGGCCAGCACTGGGCTCTGGTGGCTAAGGCAGGAGATGAGGTCTAGGCACAGCACTCCTTTGGGCTTCCCTGACAGATTGGCTATGGTCTGCACCCCAGGGCCCCACTTACCCCGTCATCCCGTGCCCCGCCTCCTGGCCCGGATCTAGGGCAGATTGGCGCGGTCTCGGCCCCACACCCACAGCTCAGGGTCGTAGGCCTGGATCTGCGAAGACAGATGGGGCCCATGTTGCTGACTCGCTCGGCCTCTCCAGCCTGCGGACAGCCCCCCTCCATGCCCCCCAGCAGTCCTACCTGTTCGCACTCCTCCCGGCTCACCCAGGCTCTCCAGCCCATGGAGCGCAGCATTTGCAGACGGAGCCGGTGGAACATGGGCCGCTGCAGGCGGCTGTCGCCATACAGGAAGGCGAAGATGTTCTGCTTGTGTGCCTGGTTGTCCTCCTCCATATCGCTGGCCAGGTAGCTGTGGACAGCACACCACCTGTGTTCACACCTACCTCCTTCCTTCAGGGAGCTGCGGCGGAGGGCCCCCAGGGATTGATGGAGGCTGATGGGGTCCCAGCGTGGCTGTGTCGGGGCTCCCTGGGATCGGTACTCACAGTGCCAGAAAGAAGTGAATGCGTCGGATCTGCCAGCTGAAGAGGCCAGAGCGGCTGAAGTAGGCGATGACCATGGCCAGCAGGTACTGGGGAGACACGGGGACAGGTCACCAGGGCTGGGCGGAGGGGAAGGAGATCCAAGAACTCGGGAAGCAGGACGAAGGGGAGGACTTTGTGGGTGTTTGCTGAATCAAGAGGAGAGGGACCCCAGAGACACGACCCAGAGAGACTGGGGTGCCTGTGCCCAAGGAGTGGGCAGCGAAGAGCTGCATCAGTGACCGCACCTCCCCTATCCAGTGGCCCCCAAGTTTTACGCTCACCCCCCCAAAGAGCAAAAAGAGCAAAGGTACCCGGGCAGGGTGAGCTTGGTGGGTCCCCGGGACAGTGGCTTAGTGACCCCCAGCAGGTACCTTATCAGAGACCAACAGGTGCCGGTCCCAGGCCAGGAATCTTTTGATCACAGGGTCCTCTGTGGGAAGACGGGGTTGTGAACCTCAAATTCACAGCCCGCCCCCAATATTCCCCCCCGTCGGGACGGCAACACTGGGCCCCTAACAGACCCAGTTGGGAGTAGGGGTGCGGGAGCCCCTTACTTGGGTGGCTCAGCCCAGGCAGCCCGGCACTGCAGCCCCTGTCGGGCAGGGGCAACCTCTTCCCCACCATGGGACACTGCATCCCTAACGACCGCCTGTGTCCAGGTGGGAGACTCGGGCCCGGGGCTCCTACCCAGCAGCT